CGGTGCCGTAGTCAGAGCTGTCTTGAGCTTCTGAAAGCTCGCCTCACACTCATCCGACCATCTGAACTGGGCACCCTTCTGGGTCAATCTGGTCATCGGGGCTGCAATAGATGAAAACCCCTCCACGAACCGACGATAGTAACCTGCTAGCCCCAAGAAACTCCGAATCTCTGTAGCTGATGCTGGTCGAGGCCAATTCTTGACTGCCTCAATCTTCTTCGGGTCCACCTGAATACCCTCTGCTGATACAACATGACCCAGAAATGCAACCGAACTCAACCAGAACTCGCACTTCGAGAACTTCGCATACAACTGACTATCTTTCAAAGTCTGAAGAACCACTCTGAGGTGCTGCTCGTGCTCCTCCTGGCTGCGGGAGTACACCAGAATATCATCAATAAAGACTATCACGAACATGTCCAAATACGGCCTGAACACTCGGTTCATCAACTCCATGAATGCTGCTGGGGCATTGGTCAACCCAAACGACATGACCAGGAACTCATAATGCCCGTACCGAGTGCGGAATGCTGTCTTAGGGACATCGGATGCCCTAATCCTCAGCTGGTGGTAGCCAGATCTCAAGTCTATCTTTGAAAACACTGTTGCGCCCTGAAGTTGGTCAAACAAATCATCAATCCTCGGCAGTGGATACTTGTTCTTTATCGTCACCTTGTTCAATTGCCGATAATCAATACACATCCTCATCGATCCATCCTTTTTCTTCACAAATAACACTGGCGCACCCCAAGGAGAAACACTAGGCCTGATGAAACCCTTCCCTAACAAATCTTGCAACTGGTCCTTTAACTCCTTCAACTCTGGCAGGGCCATACGATACGGCGGGATAGAAATGGGCTGCGTGCCTGGAGCCAGATCAATACAAAAATCAATATCCCTATCGGGCGGCATACCCGGCAGGTCTGAGGGGAAAACCTCTAGGAACTCCCGAACAATAGGAACTGAGTCAATAGAAGGAACCTCTATGCTGGAATCAAGAACATATGCCAAATAAGCTAAACACCCTTTCTCAACCATGCGTCGAGCCTTAACATATGAAATGACACTGCGGGTGGTATGTCCTAGGGTCCCTCTCCACTCCAATCGGGGCAAGTCCGGTAAAGCCAAGGTCACGGTCTTGGCGTGACAATCCAAGATCGCATGATACGGGGACAACCAATCCATCCCCAATATAACATCAAAATCAACCATGTCTAGAAGCAATAGGTCAACACGGGTCTCAAGACCCTCTAATACTACTACACAGGAACGATGAACTCTGTCGACCACTATAGAATCACCCACTGGCGTGGATACATATACAGGAATACCCAAGGCATCACTGGGCATAGCCAAGTAGGGAGAAAAATAAGACGACACATATGAATACGTAGACCCAGGGTCAAATAGCACTGAAGCATCCCTGCCATAGACCAGAATAGTACCTGTAATAACTGCATCGGAAGACTCAGCCTCTGGTCTGGCTGGCAAAGCATAACACCGGGGCTGGCCCCCACCTCCCTGAACTGCATCTCTAGGACGATCAACCACTGGCTGTCCTCTGCCTCTGCCGGTCCGAGCTCCACCTCTACGGTCCCTGCCTCCACCTCTATGATCCCTATCCCCGCCTCTAGCTGGCTGGGCGGGCTGTGGATCACCTGTTGCCTGAATCATGGGGCAAGGACCCTGCTGCTGAGAGCTGCCCGATGCTCGAGGGCAAAACTTGACAATGTGACCGGGGTCACCACAACCATAACAAGACCTCGGCTGCTGCGACTGCTGGCCCTGTCGACCAGAATGTCCTCCCCTGAAGCTCTGAAGTGGGGGTGCACTGATAGGCTGCTAATCTGAATAATACTGCTGAGAACCTCCGCGGCCTGGAGCACCATGAGAAACCTGAAGCGCAGACTGAAAGGGCCTCGGTGCCTGACCTCTACCATAGGAATCCCTACCTCCAGATGAGGTACCACTGAATCTACCAGTATGACGAGGCCTCTTGTCCGACATCTGACCACCTCCCCGAATGGGCCATCTCAACTCTATGGGCCGCATTGGCCGCCTCCTGGAAAGAGATATCACTACCAACTCCCATGGCCATCTGAAGACGGATCGGCTGAATCAATCCATCAATGAATCTCGGGACCCTCTCTCGCTCTGTAGGGAGTATCACAACTGCATGGCATGCCAGGTCGATAAATCTAGTCTCATACTGTGTAACTGTCATGGAGCCCTGCTGGAGGCGCTCAAACTGCCTACGAAGTGCCTCTCGCTGAGTGACGGGGAGAAACTTCTCCAAGAATATCTCCGCGAACTGATCCCATATCAAAGCTGGAGACCCTGCTGGTCTAGATAGGCAAAAATCTCTCCACCAAGTCTTGGCGAACCCTGCAAGCCTGAAGGTGCAAAAATCGACCCCGTTGGTCTCCACTATACCCATAGTCCTGAGAATCTCATGACAACTGAATAGAAAATCCTGGGGATCCTCTGATGAAGCACCGCTGAAAGTGGTGGTGAAGAGCTTGGAGAACCGATCAAGTCTCCACAAAGCATCCGAAGACATGGCCGCTCCATCACCGGCCTGAGCTATAATACCTGGCTGAGCTGTCGCAGCTGGCTGAACCACTGGGGCATGAGTCTGTGGAGCTACCTGCTCCGGAGTGCGCGTAGCAGGAGTCTGAACCCCTCCTCTAGCCTGAGAAGTGGTTGGTGCTACTGGCAGCAAACCCGCTCTAGCAACACTATCCATAAAGCCTGCCAACCTGACTAGAGCATCCTGAAGGTCTGGGGTGAACATGACCCCTCCTGGGACCTGAGCTGGGCCCACCGGAGCTGCTGGGGCTGGAGCCTCCTCATCGTAGTCAACATGAGGCTCCACCTCTGGAACTGCTGCTCGGGGCTGAGCTCTGCCCCGGCCTCGGCCTCTGCCCCACGCAGGAGCTGCTGCTGGGGGCTCGGGCTGCTGCGCGGTAGAAGAGGAAGCACGTGTTCTCGCCATCTGCGAAAGAACAGAGTAGAAAGACAATCAATATTTGAGAAACAGAATCGCACGACAGGAAAGAACAAAAGTGAAACTTTTCCTAACTCCGTAGCCTCTGAGGGATAAATACAGACGTCTCCGTACCGATCCCTCAGACTCTACCGAGGTTGTCCGTGAGTTGTGAGACCTATGTAACCTAGGGCTCTGATACCAACTTGTCACGACCCGAATTTTTCCCACCATCAGGCGTCGTGATGGCGCCTACTAACGGAGCTAGGCCAGCCATACATTAAACATTCGCTATTCAACCTCAACAATATATTATACTAACAACAGTTAAAGAAATGCGGAAGACTTTAAGTTTAACAAAAAGGATATAAAAATGCAGAAGTTTAAAACACATCCTTACCCAAAATCTGGTGTTACTAGCTCACGGACTACTATAGAATGCTACAACAAGTCTGAATGAAAGAAATACACATGTCTGTTTCGGTACAATGAAAACAAACTGAAATAAGGAAAGGGACTTCGGCCTGCGAACGCCAGCTAGGCTACCTCGAGAGTCCCTGGACTGAAGATAGCTCCCGTATAAGAATCCTACTGCTGTTGTCCAAAAGCTGCTCCTGGATCTGTGCACAAAGAAATGCACAGAGTGTAGCATCAGCACAACCGACCCCATGTGCTGGTAAGTGTCTGGCCTAACCCCGGCGAAATAGTGACGAGGCTAGACAGGACTACTATACCAACCTGTACAATTTTTATATACAAATATGCAACAAAAGGAAAGAAAATACCGAAACTAAACAGTTAAAAGGGAGGGAAACATACTATGGGGAGAGTACAAATTTGGAAATAAAGTTCATCAGCGTAATTAAGAGACATGGCACAACAATAATTATCAAAGAATAAGAAATTCTATAGTTGCACGGCATCACCCTTCGTGCTTTTACTCTCAATCTCACCCAAAGCAATCAAATAAAATGCACGGCATCACCCTTCGTGCTTTCCCTCACATAGCTCTCATCTCATGGCACGGAATGACCCTTCGTGCAAATATAATCAAATCAGAGCACGGAATGTACCTTCGTGCATAAATAGTCAAACATAGCACGGAATGACCCTTCGTGCAAATATAATCAAGAATAGCACGGAATGACCCTTCGTGCAAATGTAATCTAGAATAGCACGCACCCTTCGTGCAATTTCACTCTTCCTCACCCAAATAACAGTCACAACCAAACGGGCAAGAGAAATAAACAAGTAATATGAACTATCCCGGCAAGGGAACAACACAAATAACCACCAAGACCCGGCAAGGGAATAATAACAACATCTTTCACAACCCAGCAAGGGCAATACTCACTGTAATCAAACCATCCCGGCAAGGGATTAATCACACCTCTTTTCTATACATTCATCTCTTACTCAATGATATATAACACTCGAGCCAATGCTCCAAAATATTAATATTTCACAACTTATCCTCAAACTCTTCACATTTGCAGAAAAACATGTTGTAGCATAGAAGAGTTCCAAATTATCTCAAAAACAAGTACAAACAAAGACCCACGGTCATGCTAGACTCCGGTGTATAGACACTCGTCACCACGCCTATACACCGTACTCGATCAATTAGCAAATAGCATTTATGATACTCTAACCCTATTTCCTCAAGCCAAAGTTAGATCAAACACTTACCTCGATCCGAAAATAGCAATCAAGCCTCTAACACCGCCTTTCCTCTAGAATTCGACTCCGAAACAATGATATCTAATCATAATTAATTCAATAATATAAAATGAGGCTCAACAACATAATCCCATAGCCTAGAAATGAATTTCCTACCATTCTTCCAAAAATAGCAAAATCCGACACCGGGCCCACATGGTCCAAACTCGAGGCTCGGACCAAATTCCAATCACCCATAACCCCACGAGTTCAAATATATAATTTGTTTCAAGATCCGACCCCAAATTGAGGTTGAATCGCCCAAAATTTTCAAAAACCTAACTCTACCCATTTCCCCCAATTTCTACCCTAAATTATATGTTTTAGGCTTAGGAATTCAACAAATATTGATGGAAAATGAAGAAAACGAGTTAAGATTTACTAACCCAAGAAGTTTTGGTGAAAGGGAGCTTCAATGGACGCCTAAAGACCTTGGAGAAGAAGGAGCTCGTGTGTTTTCATGAAATTCCCGTAACTACACTGTTCTGGAAATTAAAAATATAACTGGCAAAATTGCCCTTCGCGTTCGCGGGAAGAGGGCCGCGTTCGAGCACATTGTTTTTACAATATTATTACTTCAAATTCTATGTACGTTGAACGTACTTTAAATTAATGTAAACTACTATTGACCACTATAGTTTTTCGTTAATCTTATTATTTATTTCATGAGGCTAAATTAAACTTTACAATCTAATTGTATTTAATTATTTTATATTTTCATGTTATTTCAGAAGCTGACCTAACATATGAAGAATTGAAAAATCGCTGTTTGCAAAAGCTTGAAATTTTTTTTAAAGGTTGTGGAAGAAGTTTCCAAGATTTTTCAACAATGCCAAGGCCCGTTTATAATACGGAAGAAATTGACAACAGTAACAGATTATACGGGATGAATTGTGTTATAATAAACGTGCTTTGGCAGATGAACATCAACAATTAGTAAAGAATTTGACACATGAGCAAAAGTCAGTTTATGAAAAAATAATAAGAGATGTGAATGAAGACA